CGAAGGTCAGAGCTTCGCACTCCGGCCAAATATTGTGTCTGCCAGCTATATTTCAGAAGATATTGTTCAAGCGTTTTGTAGGTAGTGTGGAGTTTTTTTGACGTGGTTGAATTACCAGCCCACGTCTCTGCAGCATAACAGAGCGCTAGGAGGATCGTAGAATCAAAGAGATAAGCGCGGATTTTCGGTTCCTTCATTTGGTCGGTGGCTTCTTTGAGAGGGCCGAATGTGGCCTAAGCTGCTCTCCTTCTTCTATCCAGTTCCTCCTTCATGTTGTTTTCCATATTCATTGATCCTCCGAGGTATACGTACGAGGTGATCTCTGCAATGAGAGAGCCATCCAATTCAATTTTTTCGCCTCCGTACCATGGGTTTTTCGTGAACTGGGTCTTCTTTCGATTTATGCGAAATCCGATCTTTTTCCCAGCTTCCTTGAACTCGTTGGTCATCATTTCTGCTTCGCTAGTACTTCTTGAGAAGATGAAAGTCGGCAAAACGACGGTTTGATGGGGATTTTCCATCAATACGTATGCCTTTCTCATACCACTTTTCCCCTTTCTTCCTTGTGGTTGTATTTCACATTTTGAGATGTTCTACAATATAAACACTTTTTCCAAAAACAGACTGAAGTTCGGAAACTTCGAAGCATAGTATGCAAACTTTTTCCACCTCATATAGAATGCTCTCTGTGTTTGTTTATATGATATATTTCTTAAATTTTCTGCACGTTGTTTCATGGGCAGTATTTTCGTCTACTTTATAACGAAGTTTACTTCTTTTGGATGCTCTCCTCGATCGTTGCATGTTGATGACGTAATATACTAAAACTCTTCTTTCCTTGATTAGGACGAGAGTGCCTTAATCATCTATATCTCATCCTTGGAAACTCTTGCTCTTGATCACTTTACCCTATGTGTACTTTGAGATCCTAATAAATGTATAATTTCCAAGATACCGTATGCCTCCTCCCCCGCTCTCAAACCGTTTAAAAGCACCGCCACCGATTTGCGGATCCAAGTTTATATCCTGTGCAGCTTTCACCCGACCATATCCTTTGTAGATAATAATGTATTATACTACTGTTTTTTTTCTCGCATTACTTGAGCACTATTGCAGAAATCACTTTGCCATTGTTACTGCTCCGCGTTGCTCATTGCACCATCGCCACTTGCTGACTAGGTTACGGTTCAAATTTGCTACACCTACATTTCATCGTACCGCCACTTCTTTGTTGTTGTATTAATAACATTATATATGCAATATTGTCGTTATATCGTTGTATATCATAACTAGCCAAGTTTTAAGTGGAAGGTGTTGAATAATAAAGGATCTGCGTGGCAAGTCAGGAGATGGTAAGTAACTACCAAATGCGCCCAGCCTCTACATGCACGTAAAAACAAAACCGAAACGAGTCTGCCATGTAATGAGAACAATTTACAACAGATCTGCAAAATAACAGTAAAAAGACTATAAGTGATGGATTCGAGCGTTTTCTTGGACGACTTAGATACTCTGAGGACGGGTTTGGGGCTCACATTAATCTCCTCCATTCCGCGCTATTAACGACATAGTTCGTATATAATGCTGAGATATTCCAGGTTCCGGATGGTGTGGTGGTGAAGTGCGCTGTTCCCCGGTAAGGACGACAGCGCGTGTTCGTTCCCCACCGCATATACCTGCGGTCCGGTGTTTTGCAAATATCTCAGCATTATATACGAGTTATATTCCACAACATACCCTGCCATTAAAAAGAAAAAGGCAGTAAATAAAAGGGTTAAGATAACGACATAGTATTAAAGTGGAATGATAACGATGTCACTATGCTCGGAACAAACTTCATCTACGGATTATGATCATCAGTGAATGAAGTAAATGAAGAATATACTGACGTCCGCATAACTCCTAAACAATGGTCATCCGCGTATCCAATTATTCCAAGTCTTACTTCAAGAACCGACTTGAATTTAACTTCAGTGCGAAAAATCGATGCTATCTCAGATTATTTAGTCATTACGTGGTTGTTTTAAGATTTCTTTCTCTGGCTGATGTCTCCATGTTTTCGTCATCTTCAAAGTAGTGATGATCTAAGCCGAATTCTCGAATTCAAAGTGCGCTCCACTCCACTGGACTTTGCCAGGTTGGATAGGGAAACCTACATCGTGAGAAGAGCACAGCTGTGGGCAACCGACTCTGATTGCCTCTTATAATATAAGCACCCTCTTACTGAAATGAACAAATGTTCACAGCACTTGATTCATTATCTTCTTTCTAAACTTAGTTACTGTTTTCTGTATCATTTTACTCACTTCCTCATATTTATTACTCTTCATCAACGCTTTATATCGAGCACTGCTCACTATCATCATCATACTGTCATTATACCTATTGCTAATCTAACACCGACTTTTGCACCGGTACATTTGAGACCTTTTAGAAGTAATCGACGAATTCAATGGCTGCTTCGTGCCATATCTCCATCGCTGATTTTTCCAATAGCAATGATACAATAATACGAATTTATTAAAAGTCTAGGAATATTTCCTGTACACTTACCATGATTGTGGAGATATCAGTTCACATGAGAGTAGACTTTCCACGGCCTTTATTTGTCGCTAAATTCAAAGCGTTTTCAGCGCAATATTTTAAAGACCTTACAATATAATTCCATTAAAGAATGAAACTAGAACGACCCAGATGGTGTGGTGGTGAAGTGCGCTGCTCCACGGTAAGGACAACAGCGCGTGTTCGTTCGTTCCCCACTGCATACACCTGCGGTCCGGAGTTTTGCAAATATCTCAGCATTTCATACGAAACTAGAACGTTTCGAAGCGCATCACGAATTTGAACCAAGGGCGCCTGAATGGCAGACAGTTCTAGCTGCTTTCTAGACATATATATATATATATGTATATATAAGTATGTAATATAAAAAGAATAAAGCTTCCAGCGTTGATGAATCGCTGAGAAGTGCGACACGCATTCAACACCATTAGGCATCTTTAGAGGTGAATGATTGCGATGTATCGAACCAGTGCTGTTATTGTCGCATACAGGTCTGGTACCTATTTGCCAACTCTGGAGGGATGGAAAGCTTGGTGACACTGGAGGATGGGGCGGGCCGATCCATGTGTATTGGAGGGCGCCTCTACCCACTGCGTCAAACGCGCTGCTGTTTCATAACATCAAGATATATAACCAAGATATATACAAACATATATATGCATGTGTGCGTATATACATGTATATACGTATGCATACACATACATGCATATATTTATATTTGGAGACCTACTTGGGCAGCCCGTACTCACTAGTTGTGCGCGACCTAGCACATCTTCCATTGTTCCGGAGTTCTACTGTTTCAGCCATCCTGGTTCCCTGGAGTCCACCACAGCCAGCCGGCGCCCTTGTGGATCAGAGAGAGATTTTCCACCTTGCAACTAGTTTGATACCATGACGGTGGTGGGTCCTAGTATTGGTTACTCCTTGCTAGCCTTCTTGATGAAAACACCACCCTGCATTCCAGCTTGGGATAGCCTGTTGGTGGGACGAATCCGCTCGCTGTACTTCTCAGCCCGACACCCAGGAGCACCTCCCAGCCACGATGAGGTGGTAAACTGTAGGGAAAAGACTGGAAATTTAATTTTTAAAATTTCTGGCAAACACAATTTACATTATAATTTCGTTATGCACCATACACATGCAGAAAATGAGCTTTGTAGGTGGTACAGAGTGTTGTACCACTCGAGAAAAGCTGTTACTGAAACAAATACAAGAGGAGTGGAATTACAAGCCAGACATTAATTTCCGAGCAACCTTTATATGTATGTATATATGTGTATATAAAAGACGCTGATCTATCCTTGAGGGATGCGCCAGGCATTTGACTTCATTAAGAATCGTTTGGGGGTGACTGAATGCATATCTGCCCTTTGCAATGACGCGCCGTGGCCTACGTCGAGCCAGTGACGCTATCTTCTCAGAGAAGTCTGGCACCAATTTACCAACACCGGATAGGTGGAAGGCTTGCTGGGCCAGGAGAACGGAAAACGATGGAGTTTGTGTTGCAGGCCGCCTTCGACCACTGCGCCGCACGCGTTCCTGATATATATATATATATATAGTAAAAAGTTAGTGATAATGCAATACTTAGCATACATAATAAAGCAAAATAAAATAAATAAAAAATAGAAAATAAAATTAAGAAAAATACAGTATGGAAATAATAATATGATATATATGGAGCGGATAGCACAGTGATAGTGATGCCGATCATCAAGAGCACGGTGCATGTTCTATCCATTCCAAGATCACCAAGCCTCTCATGCCTCACGGGTCGGCAAATTGGTGCTGGGCTCATCCGAAAGAAAAGCACTCTCTGCAATCCAATTGCGAACGCTCCAGCCCGGCTATCTCAAGACTCTAGGTAGAATCGACTCGACCAGAATTTCACAACATCCAAGATGAAATGAAAATTCTCAAGCAGCAGATGACGCCACGGTAAAAAGCTGAAAGACCTTCATGGGTAATGGATGCGAGGAATTGAATCGAATGCAAGAAGTGCGGGGATCCTCACTGTAGACGTGAAGACTAGCCGCACGAAGTAAAAAAATATAATATATAACAAGTAATAAAAAATACCTTATGGCTTATGCATTCACATTTAGTCAAGGAGAGTGCTCCACTTTTTGACTACATAAAATAAAGAGGTTTTTTGATATGAACTGAAATAATCAAGATGTCATGAAAAAAATTATTGTCTCTTCAGCGACTTTTGCAGTGCCTTCCGTATGACTTATACTGACTTATTTCAGATTGTTTGAGACCCGGTAACTTTTTCTATAGCTGTGTTTTTTAAATATTGTTTATGATTGTCATTTTTCTTGATTGGAATTGCTAAGTAGTACCACGTGATAGTATCATCATATGTTACAATGTGAATGTCTTTGGATCTCAGCGACTTCAGATTCATCCTCACTCTGAGCGCAGCGCTATTGGTGATGTTCATCCTGATCACATTGGTGTTCTTCTTCACTTACCCATCAAGTGAAGCGGTACGTTTAACAAAAGCAAACAATCCTATGTATTCTTTAATTATTAGATCTAAACAAAAATTTTCTTTACACCTTTTTTTAGTTGATTAAAAATAACGTGCCATTTGACTGGCCACCGCCGTCATCAAGTGTGGAAGGAAAATTCAAGAAAGCTGCCGTCACAACCGATCATCAAATCTGCTCAGAAATTGGAGGGTACGATAGCGAAAACTTGTTGTAGAAGGAAATAAGTGCCACTTCTTTTATTTAATTTGTAGGTGCTTTTATGAAATTTTAACACATTGTTTTTACAAATCGCCTGTCCCGGTGGAGAATCAGGGCGAAATTCAAGCATTCTACCCGAAGCCAAAAATTTTCTTATACTGCAATAAACTTCTCCTAAACTTCTTTCGTATTCATTTGATAAAAAATGCTTGAAATAGTAACAAAAAAAACTAGCTTAGAGACAGGCGAAAGGACCCGCATGGTGTAGTTGTGAACGCGTTAGCCCTAGGAAGTGATAACAGCGCGCTGGTTCCCCACCGCAGGCACCCCTGGTTCGGGGTTTTGCAAATATCTTACCATTATTGTGGTTGTATCACACATAATACCCTGCCGTGAAAAGTTGTAATAGGCAATAAATAAAAAAGTTAACATAGTAACAAAAATGTATTGCAGTTTTTAGCTGAGTTTTTTTCTACGGAAATGACTCTTGATTAGGAAATAACTAGAATCACATATAGCTTGGAGAGGTAGAAGTTCTCTTTATCTGATTATGCACCTTTTTTGTTGTTTATATTTTTCCTATTTTCATGACCACAGACTCTTTCTGATGTTCTGCATAATTGAGCTTTGCATCCCAATAGAAACATTTCTTGCGCTACATAATGTATAAATTGAAAACTCTTTTTCTAGCAATATTCTGAAACGTGGCGGGAACGCTGTTGATGCCGCAGTGGCTGTGATGTTTTGTTTAGGAGTGACAAATCCTCAGTCAAGTGGACTGGGCGGTGGCTTTCTAATGACGCTGTACAACAAGTAGGCACTGTTATTCAGTTTTCCAATTTTATTGTTCACTACTATGCTTAGTATTCCACATTTTTCTTGGATTGTTAAGCTAACACGAAGTTGATAAGGAAATTTATTCGGCTAACGTTTCACCATCTTTGTCTTCATCAGAGTCGATGATTTGAGCCGACGATCCATAGTTGTTCGTCTTCTCGATGTGGAGTCTTCGTCTTCGTGTCGAGTTAGATCTTCTTCAAGGGAACATCGTCCAGATGAGGAAAGCACATCCGGCAGCATTCTTTTGTAGAGGATGATTGCTGTTGATACGACTATCCGTCGATAGTAGCTTATTTTTCAACCGATAATTCTTCCTGTAGCAGTCATTATAATGTTAGTTAACGCATAGCGAAAAAAAAGCAATATTTTTCAAACTAACCGTCGTTTAACCTCGGTAAATAGTAATCAATACCTTCTTGGATTGTTGAGCTATGAAGAGTTGGTAAAGAAATTTATTCGGTTAACGCTTCGACGTCATCGATTCCACATCTGTTGAGAGGACAGCTCATTGCTCGTGATACCGACCCAATGACAATGCTTTTTAGACCCCGGTTCTAGCTCATCATCTCTTAGAGGGTGAGAATTGGTACTGAAGTTGTCCGAGAAGAACTCACCCTAGCCCTCTAATCCAAGTGGAAAGCTCTACCTGGACATGACTGCAGGGAGAATTGACTAGCATTAAACGGTGTTCAGAAGAAAGGAAACATTCCGCAATCAGCAACCGAACCATAAAGTGAAAAGTCCTGAGACCTTTATGAAAGATGGAGGTGAGGAATCTGTTTGAGTGCAAGAAGTTCTAGGACCAGCGATCCAACGTGATAGCTGATAACAGACTTGTCTGTGAAAACAAAAACATAAAATTTACTCATTCGCAGGCACCCGTATCGCATGCCATTCTATAAGTCAAATATACATTCAGCTATCTACAGGAAGCTTAATGGACTCCAATGCATAGCTCAGATATTGATCAACGCAGAGCCTTCCATCTTACTCACCAGCCCTGCTTATTATGAGTTAACTCTTAAAAAACATCAACAAAACCCCAATTCGTAACTGTCTCGAAAGGGGGTTGCCTGGCTATGAAGAACATCGTAGTGCTCGATCTAAATCAAAGCTTCTTCATAAACCCTCACAAACTTTTTCAGAACTTCGCAGAAATTTTTCAGAACCACTGGAAAATGTATTGCTATTAACGCGAGAGAGACCGCTCCAGCTGCTGCACATCGGGACATGTTCCGACAGGATGCCACTGGATCGAAGATCGGTACATTTGATTTATTGTTCCTTCATTTTGAGAAAAACAACAAATATCTGTCACACGAGGCGATTGATACGAGAAATTAAAAGCATTGCCTGTTGTCCTTGGAAATCTATTAGAACAAGAAATTATTCTAACAATGATTTTTGTACTTAAAATTCTGTTATGAATTAGAAAACTGGTTACATTCCCTTGAGAAATCAACTTCTCTTAAAAATATGGCTATCATTTAATCACTATGAATTCATCGTTTGGAGAGATTTGGACAGTTTCCCATTAGAAATCAACGACATTTCCAAGGACTCGATTTGAATTTTGTGATTTTTGTAAAGAATAATTGGAAGTAAATGAACCACATGAATGACGGCAGATAGCACAGTGGTAGTGATATCCATCGTCACGAGCATGGTGTTAGTTCGATTCCGCTTCGAGCCAACCAAGCTCCTCATCTCTACGGGGTCGGGAAATTGGTACCGGACTTGTCTGGAAAAAAATCACTCTTGACAATCCAATTGGGAATGCTCCAGTCCGGCTATCTAAGGCCTCCAGAAAGAATTACTCGACCAGTGTTCTACAACATCCAAGGTGAAATAGAAATCTTCAAGCAGCGACTGAAGCCACCCGGAAAGGTTGGAAGATCCTCGTGGACAACGGATGCAAGGAAACGAATAAAATGTGTAAAGTGATGGGATCCGCAAATCATTAAGAAAACTCTCGGTGTTGGTCGATCCTTGAGGAATGCACCATGCATTCGACTTCATCAAGTATCGCTGAAAGTGATTGAATACATATCTGGCCTTTACAATGACTCGCGGTGGCCTACCGATGTATCGAGCCAGTGCTGCTATCCTCCCAGACAAATATGGTACCAATTTGCCAACCCCGAAGGGATGGAAGGCTTGGTGGGCCATGGGTGCTGGGTTCGATTCCACGTGTGTGTCGCAGTGGCACTTCCAACCACTGTGCCACACGCGCTTTTTTAAAATGAATCATTAAAGAGATAATTTATCAAATACGGAATTATAATGCAAATTCTGTGATATCATGTTAACTGGTTCACAATTTTGTTGGTTTTCTAATAACGGCCAATAATTTTTCAACAGCAGTTGACGATTAATTGTAAACTATTCTCCAGCCGTGAAAATACTAATAAAAGACTAACAACGACTTTCTCGGCGTTGATTAATCCTCGAGAGATGCGTCACGCATGCGACTTCATCAAGCATCGTTAGATGTGATTGAATGAGCAACTGACCTACACAATAAGCTCGCAGTAGCCTACCGATGTGTCGAGTCAGTGCTACTATCCTCCTAGTTGAGTCTAGTACCAATCTGTTGAACCTGGAGGGATGGAGAGCTTGGTGGTGCTGGAGCGCGGAATCGAATTCATTGTATTTGCAGTATGCCTCCGACCACGGCTTACATGCGCCTTTTTCAATTATGAAAAATACCTAAATATCTGTATCACCTTATGTCCCGTTGGCCGTCCAGTGACTAAAGCGGGCGCCAATGAATCCTCCACTTCTCCAGTCTGCGTGCGAGAGTAGCCCGGTCGGTCCTACTTGCTCCAAGGATGCATTGAGTACCATATCCTTATTCTAGCGTTTTCTTAAAGAACTCTGACCATAGGTTCTGTGATCTTCTTGGAGTACATTTGACATTCTGAGGTATCCAGTCACTAACGGCTTTTGTCTATCGGTTGCCATTCATGCGCGTTACTTGCGCAGCCCACCTTATCGCTGACACTTTGGCGTATTATACAACGGTGTTTTTGATTGTTGATCGTTGACGTAGGTCAGAGCTTCGGATCCCTTCCCTTAATTGTGTGAAATAGGATACATCTAGCGTCGTCCTTTCGATTGCGTGCTCAATAACGTTGGGTGATATTCCACCCTGCATACGCAATGACCAGGTTTCTGGCGCAGAAGTTAAAGCAGGCAGTACTGTTGAGTCGAAAAGGTTGGCACGGAGTCGGGTGTCCATTGTTCTCTTCACTGCAACGCCGATACTCTTGCAAGCTCCCCAAACCTCTCGTTTTCTTCAGCTCAGCTCTGGAGCTAAGTCGTTCATCACATTGATTTCACGACGTAGGTGCGCGTGTGGTTCAGTGGTTGGAGGCGCTAATGAGACACGAACGCGAGTCGATGGTCCACCCAGCCTTCTATCCTTCCAGAGTCGGCAAATTGGTACCAGACTTGTCTGGGAAAATAGCGGCACTGTCTCGATTTATCGGTGGGCCACCGTGAGTCATTGTAAAAGCCAGATACGCATTCAAACACCTCCAACGATACTTATTGAAGTCGAATGCATGACGCATTCCTTAAGAGTTGATCAACACCGAGAGCCGTATCCTTTATCTCTTAGAAGTGGCTGCATCATTGGCGATATTTATTCCATTGAGCGTGTATGGGGCATAGAAACCAATCAGCTCCTCATGAACAACGTTTTCTGAATTTGGTGGTACACCACTCTTTCAACAAGCGCTGTCAAAGTGAGCTAGAATTCGTTCAATCTGGGTAATGCCTTGAGTTGTGAAAACGATATCACGACCAAAGCGAGGTCGATGTAATTGTCGACCGTCTATTTTCCCATTCACATGGATTTCAATTTTTACATGACGCACTCAAGAGTTACGGTAAATAATTTTAGCTTGTAGGTATCGCTGTTGGTCTGATCTCGCGTAGAATTTTGGGACAACAGCTGCATCGTTAGGCAAAACCTTCTACTTACTATGACGTGGTCTATTTCATCATGGTGCTCTCCATCAGAAGTCTCCCATGCCTAGCGATGAGGGTGGGGCTTCTGGAATTGCGAGTTACCATGGATGGTCCTGGTAGCCATGATAGACTCAGATAGCCGCTCACCCAATTCGTTCCATTCTAATCCGTGGGTTCCAATGTGAGGTTCTTCAAATGTTCTTCATAGTCCAGTCCTAGTGTTAAATTCTCCGATTATGATTTTAAAGAATGTATGGTCTTCCCTGTAGAACTTCTCTAAATCCAAATAAAATGCTTCGACTTTTTCTTCGTCATAGTTTGATGTCGGTACATGAACGACTACAGTTGTCAAAGCCAGTTTTGATCCACATCTTTTTAATCGTAAACGCCCAGTTCGGGTTGTTAGTTGTTCGAATCGATGTTCTTGGACAAACTCGTGTTAACGAGAACGCCGACGCCGCCGACTCCCCTACTGTCGCGTGTCCCGAGGAACAATTCTTCTCCGGTGTCATAGACGGCATTTAATGGGTGGCGTCGTATCGTCTCGCCCAGGCCGATGATTTCGTATCTTATTATTCTTGCCGCCGTGATCAAAATCTGTGTTGAGGGCTCAAATTCAGTTTTTAGTCTTTTGCGGTTTAAGCAGCCTGGAATGTGCCTGAGGTTTTAGCAACCTGTCCACACTCGCCCTACGGACGCTGCCGAATTGGGAACTCTTTCTGACCTAGAGCAATGAGTGCTGTTTATTTTATCGTGTTTAGCTTTTAAATACTCACGTATTGCTTGCCAAGCTCTGAACGTCCAGGGTGGGTTTACTCACCGGTATTTTGCCAGTCCCTTCCAGAGGAGACGGCGAGCTTATTCGTTGGAGGCGACTTCTAACCGGCTCCCATATAATTCCGTCTTAGATGAATGCAGACTTTTTCCGATTTGACTCGTAGAATGCAGTCCGCCTTAGCGAGAACGCACCCACGTATGCATGCATAAAATCGTCCTCGTAAAGAAAGAAGATATGTGCCACCTCGGCACAGAAGAAACGGAGTCCATTTCCTGGGTTTACCGGGTCCTCTAGCATCTTAAGGAAGCAAAAGTCTCTTTAGATCGGCGATTGACCCCCTATTCGCCACCTGTGGACGTTCCACGTTGCTTCACGACTAACTGGCAAGAGATCCCTTAATGAGGGAGACCAGTGGGAAAGCTACTCGCGGTATAAAAACAAGTAGAACAAAATGGGTTAAAAGTAAGACATAAGGATAGAAGTTGAATAGAATATTCTAAGGATCGGCTTCCCTTCTACCAACCTTGAGATTGTTGAATAAGTCAGTGTTTTATTTTTGAGTAGGAATGAGATTGTTGACAACACGTTTCCTTCAATTCTGGCTGGCGGTTTCGCCTTATTGAGGACCTGGAAACGCCAAATTTACATGAAATTTACTCAGTCACACACTCTTTTAACCTTAGCAGAAAAGTCAAAGTACTAATTTTATCCGCATGGAACACATCTTTTTTTCGAACACTCTCAGTTTTCAATATACCTCAATTCATTGATACGCTAACAGAAGGTTGCTTCATCAGAGTTGATTATCCGAGCTCATGGCAGTCCGCAGTCGTTCGTCTTCTCGATGAGGTGTTTTCGTCTTCGTACCGAGTTCAATAGTCTGCTTTCAACACTCCCAGTTTTGCTGTTTATTGGTCTACCAATTATTCGGTGAAAGCCACTCGCACAGAGTCTTAAATGGGTGAGGAATGTGGCTGGTTCAGGCTAATATATTAACAATATTGCTTGCCACGCTTCTTGTCAGCAAGTGGAGTACTGCTACAAAAGGCATAGCCCACCCAAGATGGACGCGGCAATCGATCAACACCCGTCGTGTGTGAAAACGCACCACCGAGAAAGATCCTTCATTCGAACTGTGCTCGCTTCACTGGTTTCGACTCGATGCGGCAACGAACATCCACATCACAACAACGACCAGCTGTGGGCCATCGACTCGGATCGACATAGCTCTGAAGAAGGCGAAATGCGAACAGAATAAAGGTTTATATTAACCTCGTATTAGCTCAATCATGTAGAAGATAACGGCAAACAAAAATTCAAATTTTAACACAATAGGCCTCGAAGAAGAATTGGTGGAAGAAATCTCGCCCAATCATTACCTTCGATACTTGAGGAGGGAATCTTTGCAATGAAAAACGAATATGTCTTGAAAACAAGGTCCCTTTCCCATAACCCCATCGATGGCGCTTTTCGAAGTTTTTTTCACTCCTTTTCTTATGAGTTCCAACCAAACTAGTGGTTAAACCGATAATGGCCTAGTATTTACGAGTATGTGAAGTTATTAATCAAACAGTTAGTTAGTTAATTGCGCCACAGATACCTCGCACTCAAATTCTTAGTTATGGAAACTACTGGAAGACACTAAAAATACTTTGGATAACGCAAACACTACATGTTTTAGGCTTCAGAGCAGTAGCGACGCCAGGAGAATTGGCTGGGTACTGGTTGGCATTTTCACAGTATGGTTCTGGTGAGTACATCCTCAATTATCGAAGCCAAGAATTCAGTGAAACGAACAACCCTTCGTGGAATCGAAATCCTAAGGATATCAGTGATACTAAAGTACTTGAGATCCCATCATTCAGTATTTATCACTGAGTCAGTGCCAACCAATAAAATCTCCATTGGTGCACCGCGCGCGAAGGCTGCTGAGTTAGCTGGACTCCTTGGACGCCGAAAGCGGCGTAACATTGTCTTGAAAGTCTTTACCCTTAGAGCTCTTGTGAAGAAGCAAACCGAGTGCTCTGCTATGATGGGGTAGGTGGCGGAGGCTAGAGGGTATGTGGTTTTATCCCAGGTTAGCTCCACGCTTTTGAAACAAAGCCCTTCAATTTTCAGTCCAAACGTCATTTAACCTCGGCACTAATATTAGTACCTTCCTGGATTGTAAAGTTCACAAAGGTTGTTATGTTTTATTCGGCTAACGTTTCGATGTCTTCGTCTTAATCAGAGCCGACGATCCGAGTCGGCGGTGTGGTGTCTTCGTAGTCGTGCCGAGGCGTGTTTTCTCCAGTGGAACACCGCGCGAATGGAGCTATCTCATTGGGCAGAGCGCTTTTTTACAGGACGGTTATTATTGATATAACTATCCTTTGATAATAGTTTGTTTTTTAATACCTTATGTTCTTCCCACTTTCCAGCTTAGGCTTCGCTTATCAGCCTTCCAAGCTTCCACTGTACGATATCTGTTGGATGCACTCATTTCTTACCAATGTTAAATCACCATTCTGATTTACTTTATGTTTTAAAAACATTTTGCAGGCCGTGTCTCTTGGAAAGACCTTATTCTACCGTCAGTTCAACTTTGTCGAGAAGGAGTTCCAGTATCGGTTTTTCTCGATTATGTCATGAAAGTGAAAGAAGCTCATTTCCGCGAATCTCCCACCATGAAGTAAGAGCTTATTCTTAACGAGGAAATAGGATTGTTAAAACTTGTAAGAAAGCAGGTTTAAAAAATCAAAAAGTGAGAAGGTAGAAAATTGTTTTACTTTCACTGTAGTCAATGTTTGCCATAGCCCTGAGCATTTAAATTGTAAATTATCAGGTCATGGATCAATCCGTTTACAAACTCAACCTACAAAGCTGGCGATTTACTACGTCGATCCAAACTGGCCAAAACACTGGAAATGATTGCGAAGTCGGAGGACCCGATAAGACTGTTTTACAGGGGCAAAATGGCTGACACAATTGCCAAGGAGATGGCAGAAGGAGGTTTGTTCTCTGCTCATGTATGCACTTGTTGGTTTTTAAAATCCATTCAACAGAATTATGTTATTCTATTTCCTCTCATAGATAAACCAACTAAGCTTGATGAAAAAAATTTTTTACTTTGTTAGCATTTTGACGTCTTCGTCTTCTATAGAGTGGATGGTTCTAGTCAACTATCCACAGTCCTTCGCCGACGTGGTGTGGATCCTAGTTGTTATGTCGGGTCTAATCTTTTGAAGTGGAGTATTGCTCGAAGACGAAGACTCGCACACACACCGCGAGGAAGACTGACTGTGGACAACTTTTTTTAGTCGTTTTTCTTCGCTTTCACAATATAAGCTTTTTGTAGTCTAGGGAAATGAATAGCGTCAATTAGACACATCTTGGACAATGTTGAAAAGTTTCACAAAAGGCTGCATCCTTAACTTGTAGAACCGTTTGTTTAGTTTGGTCTAAATGGTTTTTTCATCTAGTCCATTCAAGTTAAGCAACATATCAGGGTTCCTGATGATGAACTATTCACTATTCAAAACCATATAATTAACTTACTTACTTGGGACACTTGGATGGTCCGACTTAGCGAGTTGTGCGGACACCAGCACATTTGCCATTCGTTTCTTTCCCTCGCAATCTTCTTCCATGGCAGTAGTTTTATTCGAACACGGTTTTTTTTGGGCCTTTCAAGGTTTTGAACAAGTTCCAGCTGTTGATACGACATGCTGGCATGTTAGCGGCGGCCGAAAATAGTTTACTTTTAACTGATCTTCCTTATAAAGATATTGATTTTTTTTCATTTTGAGAGGTATTGTGGTCCACGCTAGGCCATTACACCACGTAGTTGAACATCCGAGAACACACAACATCCATATTGAGGCGGTAAACTACGATGGCGGATTTAACGAAACAATGAATAAAAGAGCAACACTTCAAGCGTTAATCAGATATCTAAGAACTGCTACATGCATTGGACGTCATCAAACATTGCTCGAGGTGATTGAATGCATATCTGGCCTATTCAGTGATTCGTAGTGGCCTATCTATCTATCGAGTCAGTGTTTCTATCTTCTTAGACAGTTTTGCCCTGCCAATGTAGACCATGGAGACATGAAGCGCTTGGTAAGCGAGAAGCGCGGAATCGAACTCATATATATCGCAAGGCACCTCTAAGTACTGCACTACACGCATCCCTATCGGTCATCTTTAAGGAAACAAAGGAGAAAACCGAATAAAACTAATTCCTGTGGTCCATCAAGTTTGTAACTGGTTTATACATTAATGAGGACGATCACTACTTATGCATGTAACAGTCCACAGCGCAAGAATATGAAGAGCTCCCAGGATCGACTTTCTCTTAACCTCGGCATTGGAATATGAATGTGTCGTTTTCTTGTTCAGCAATCGCGAGGTTTTTAAACAGCATACATTTACTTCCATAAAAACACAATACAATACAACGCTAGCTGACGTTTCGGCAGTATCGCCTTCTTCAGAGCCGCTTTTTCGTGACTTCCAATGAGGAAGTTTAAAACAGCTAATTATAGTCGCATGTGGTTGACGACTGAGCGTTTGCGGGAGTGAGCAGGAGTGAAGGATTGTTTGTAAGGTGCCTTAAACTTGGGTAACTAAACTATTATTTGTGTACACATACTATTTACACAGCAATGCGATGAGATTTGTATTGTATGTACAATAAAATACGTGTAAGGTGGTTCAGCGGGTTTTTAACTAATAGAATGCGTTAACACACAGCGTAATTACATGAGAATCACCGACAACATCAATATATCAGCAATGGAAGAGCTAAGGATTACATTTAGTATCATTGCGAGCTAAGCCAATGAATCCGCAAGGAAAGAGTGAGTAGGAAGGAAATAATGATGGAGCTGGCGACGGCGCTCTCCACGGCATCGCCGGGCCAAATGATGGTCATAGTGGGCGTGGTTACGTTCGAACGAGCGGCTGCCCATTGGTCAGAACGGGACACGAACGCAGGGCACGCACGCGGCGTTGTAGCAACGCGGTCGCCATTGACCCATAGAATGTATTAGTTAGGTAGATAGAGAATTCTCTATCTGATAGAGGAATTCTCTACAATGCAGTAGGCATCAAACTTCAGCGAAGAAGGCTAAGCGGCCACTGAAGTTGTTTTTTGGTTGGTAAGCCTTAGCATTTAGGATTATAATACTATGCAGCACACAAGGAAGGCATTGCTTTCTGTTCCAGACACATTCTGATTATCCGTGATCAATTATTGGCTTATGTAGGTCGGAGTCATCCTATCAAATGTAGCAGAATTGCTATCTAGGAAGTTTTCTGTCGCTGTTTGGTACGAAGTACATCTGCTTTTGATCGCCCTCGTACCTATCACATTCGGAGACTTGTGTCTCCAAAAGCATTTGCCGTACTCAGTTTTCAACTTTCTTATTCAATGACGACAAAAAAGTACTTGTCGAAAAACATCCCTGGTGGAAAAATAAAGGGAATAAATAAAAGTGAGCTAAGCTCGAAGTTTAAATCCTCATTCTTGTATTGTTTTTTTCGTCCTCTTAAACAAAAGCAAGGAAAAAATAGGAGAATTTCAGGTGGTCTTATCACTAAGGAGGATCTGGCTACGTACGAACCAGTAGTTTACGAAGCAATGGAGCACGTTCATTTCCGCGGCGATCTTGCCATGTGTGGCGGACCACCGCCATCGTCGTTCTCCGTCACTCAGCTCATCGTCTCAGTGATGTCTGGTGTGTCGCTGACCTCCTTGAGATTCTTGATGGTCTGCAGAGCAATAGTGGATGAATTTTTATATAAGCGAACTTTTCTTGATGAATTATGGTCATACAAAATCAGGACTTTAGTGTTACCATACATTGGTGTTAACAAATGAAAGTGAGAGCAATTTTCCTACGTTGTTCCAATAGATCGTTCATGGTTGTTTACTGGAGCGCTGTTGTTTTTTGAAAATTATTATATTTTAAGAGCTTTCAAAAACCTATGTTAAACCATTGGCATTTGATTTGCATGCTGATGCCGAGATATTCGCAAAACTTGGGCTCCGGGCCAGATCGAACCACTATTTTCCTTTCCGGAGGCTCGCGCATTACACATTGCGCTACGGAGGCCATCGCTCTGCGTTCCTCTCAGCGAGTTTTCTACCCAACGCTGCCATCAGCAATAATCCATCATCGGGATTGATCAGGGGAGCCCAAATCGGTATTAAACCCAATTGAGTTGAGGCTGTAGTCGAATGAGATTCAACCACAACTCACATTATACCCTGCCTTGAAAACTGTAGTATGCGGCAAATAGAAGGTTACATTGACTTAGTTAGTTTACAAGTTACAACATAGTTAATTGGTAATGAAACATAGCAGTGTGATGAAGGAGAATACGAAAACAGTCGAACAGAACGAACAGTCGTGACGATTCTAACCCCTTACACTTTTCACACCTCACACGTTCCAGGCCTTTATCCGGTAGGACACGAAGCTGACATTCTTAGCGATCCAAAGGTTATTCACCACTTCATCGAATCCATGAAGTTCGCCTATGCCCAACGGTAAGATATGTTCTGTTCTTGGATTTCGCTGTTCTTTCATTACTTGTCGAACTTTTCAATTAGAAGATGTTAGGAAGTTTGCAAATTTCACTTTTTTTTGAACACCGTGAAACTATTGATATTCCGAGTTACTGTGGTTTTTTTAAACTCCCACGACCGACTTCCTATTAACTTCGGCATTGATCAAGTAATTCTTCGCATTTTTGTTGAGCAAACGCGAGGTGTTATTATTCATTATTCACGAATAAACTGACGTTTCGGCGGATTTCGCCTTTCTCGGAGCCTGGAAAGGTCAAGTTGATAGCAATCTGCTCGGCCAGACGCCTCCATAACCAAACAAAGAAACTCTAAGCCAAGATTTCAATCACATTGAACACAGCTTTGCACACTCACCGCTTTCTATGAGTCTTCCACTGAGTATGTCACGTAGCGACCAACCGCACAGAAATCACATGGAAGCACAACGAGCCCCTCCCATCAGAATAGCAGTCTTATATACTGCCCTATATCATGCGTGATAATGAGGCATTCTTCCCTGCGGTTCATTTCCGAATTTCTGGAATTGATCCAGAATGTCTCGAGAGTTTTGCGCGCTTGTGTTCTTGATTCGTGTGCAAGGATCGTTACACATACTTCAAAGTCCTCCCCGTTATGTCTTTGGGTCCTATGCGTGCCTAGCGGGGTATTTGGTTTACGTTTGCCGGCTAGGTGTTCTTTTATGCGGACACAGAGGGGTCTGCCCGTTTCGCCAATGTATTCGTCTCCGCACGTCTTACAGGAGATCAGATAAACTATACCCGAGCTCATGCAATCACCATCTCTATCACTGGGGCAAATTGTGCAATATTGAGTTGCACATAGACGGTCATATAGGCGGTTACGAACTAGCTGGCGCTTAAGATTACTCGGTGGTATTTCAACTACGTTTACCGAATTCTCTAAGCCCGCTCTTCTCAAGCAGCGTTTTATAGCTGTACTTATATCATTTGAAATGAAGGGTAGGATAAACAAACCCGCCTTTCTTAAGCAGCGTTTTATAGCTGTAATTACATCGTCTGAGATAGAGTTGCCGTTTGGAGGCCTAGGATCTTCCCTACACCTATCCTGAGCTACAGTTTCGTAGCCATTAGAAACGGCTATTTGCCGTGCCAAGTTCCGGGGCTCCTCTCTCTGCTCTCCTCCCGTGCACACGTTGGTTGCTGTTCGAAACATGTTTCTTATAAGCGCCCTTTTCGTGTGAGAGGGGTGAGAGAAGAGGTAATGAACCAAGATGTTTTTACTACTTGGCTTTCGGTACCACTTTATAATGCAGCCATTTTTTGACAGGTGAATCTGTACGTTTAGGAATGGAAGCCATTTTTCTTTCGGCATTTCTCGGGTGAACTTGATATACTCTGACTGTGCATTTAACAACTCGAAACATTTGTCTATTTCATCTTGTGTTCAGCAAAGGACAAAGCAGTCGTCTATACACCTACAGTAGAGTAGCGGCCCGAGATCAGTCACCGGTGCTTCCACTTTAGACATAAATGCAATGGCAAGGCCTGGAGCCAGTCGTTGTCCCATTGCCAACCCTCTTATTTGAGCGTAGTACTTTCCGGACCATCTGAAGATTGATCAGCTCAAGCATTCTTTTAAGAATGCCATCAAGTGCTCTATCTTGAAGCCATACATGTTTATTTCTTCTTCGTGTTGTGTAAGGAGTCCGAATATGGCTCGCATTGCGGAGTCATTCGACACGTTTGTATAATGGGCGGTAACGTCGAAGGACTCCACCACGCACGCGCTGTTGGGCTGCGCAGTACGTAGACGATCCAGAAACATCTTGGTATTCGTAAGATGGGCTGGAATGTGTTTCAACAACTGGTTAAATATTAGTGTTAAAAACCATGTTATCCTGTCCGTTGGCCCGTCTATGCAGCTAATGATAGGTCTAACCTTAAAGAGTCGGTAGACGCAAGATCATCGCTGGATACTAACTTATGAATTTTTATAAGTAAGTACAAGACGGGGTATGTTGGTAAATCAATTTTTGGTTGAGAGATAACTGATGGTTTTAAACCGGCAGCCTTTGCCATTTTGGCCCATTCGTGGTTCAATTTTCGGTATTTTCTTTTAAATTCCTTCTCAGATGATGGCGATAAAGCGAAGCATCTTCAAGATGCTTTTTCGTTATCTCCACATCTAACTGATAAGGAATTTTTTCATTATTACACATTTGTCAAGTGAAGTGAGGAAAGCCTCCAAACACTTTTGAATTTTTTTTCAATTTTTAATACTACAATTTGAAATTTATTCTTAAATGACCCATAGTGACGAGAAACCCAAGAAAATCTCCACTTTCTTAGAGCTTTGTTGACCACGTGAGATTTTCTCTATTGGAAGTCTACCACTGACCTAGGTCATCGGAGTACAGCAGCACTTTCCGGCGGATGTTTACACGTAACTGAGCTTCACAAGGAAAATGTGCATTTCATAGGAATGGATGGCCATGTTGGGTGGTGATCTCAAACTGGTCCGATGGTTAGGAAATTTATTAGGCACTATGGCGGCAAATCATCACTGGGTATTATTGTTCTCCCTTTATTTTTGACTTTCATTTCATGCGAACCGTCTTTCACATCGACTGTATAGATCCCAGCACTTCTCGCATCCCATTGGTCTTCTTGCATCGACTGTGCACGAAGGTTCTTCAACTTTTTCTGCGTTTGGAATCAGCTGGTGTTTGATCGAAAATTTTCGTCTTCTTTATATATGTTCTTGAATATTACTCGAGTCGAGTCTTGCTTGAGTCCTGAGATTGCAAGACCGGAGCGTTTCCAATTGGAATGCAGAGAGAGCACTTTAGCCAGATAAGGCCGGTAACATTTTCCTGACTCGGATGGGATGAAAGGCTTAGTGATCCCGAGGCGGGATCGAAGCAAGCAGCACCACTCTCGCGATAATCGGCATCACTATCACTGCGTTGCTTGGTCAATACGTAAATAGTCTGTCCTCATGTAGGTCGTGTAGCTCATGGCGCACTTTTTCCTTCGGTTCTTTAACCTGCATATGTCAATCGTGAAGATGGTAGCGTTGTGTATGGTGCTGGTCTCTTTTCATTCACATGTTGACTGCCAGTTTAGCGAAGGTTTCCTTGGAATCGTGTGATAAGCATTCTGGAAGGTTACTAGGTTCTGACAATATACAGTTGACTTTGTTGCTTGCGCCAGGAGTTCTTCCAGTACAGAACTAATTAATAGAACAGCAGCGATTCCTGCAATTATTTGACCAACCGATTCTGGTTGATGTAACAGGCTGAGTCCACTTAGTCAGATAATTTATAATTTGTAGTTAAACATTTGAAAATGAGCGAAGATTGTACTACATTCCCAGCGTTGGTTTATATGTTGTTTTTAGTGTAACCTATGTGTAAACTGTTATTCTTTTGCAAATAATGAAAAGTTCTCTCTCTTCAGAACACTTCTTGGAGATGTGGCATTTGTGCCTTCGGCTTATTCACTAGCAAAGAATTTGACTACGAATGATTACACCAATTGGGTGCTGAGGCGTATGAGAAACGTAGCACAGCCGTCGGCTTACTATGGAGGAAACATTTACTCACAGGTGTGCCGTCTTTTTCAGAAAAATTACCTGTTGCCATTTTTTGACCCTCGGAAATTAACTACATATCGATAATAACTGCTTCTCTACTAGTTTTTTTGAAAGGGCGCGTATAGTGCAGTGGTTAGAGGTGCGCTGCGATACATAGAGGTGGTGCTCCAGGTTGACCAAGAAGTCTTCCATCCCTCCGGGTTCGCCAAATTGGTACCAAACCTATCTGAGAGGACAGCAACAACACTGACTAGATAAAGCGTTAGGCCACCTCGGATCACTGTATAGGCCAGATATGCATTCAGTCACCTCTGACGATGCCTGATGAAGTCGAATGATGGGGCTTACCTCAGAGATTCATAAGGAGAGTTTAGCCTCTCTTTTATATTTTTCATGTGTAGTGAACCATTTGGTGTCTATTGTTTTAGAAATACGACTAAGACAAAATTACTAGGCAAACATTTATATTTACTATAGACCATAAACGTCGTAAAATTACTGGCAATCTTATGGGTAAAAGCTCGAATATTTCTCAAGTGAGCACGTAAATATACATTTACCTAATCAGTGCACACAAACAACGGAATTAGGTTTTGATCATAGCTTAAAGAGTACGCTCAGATCAAAAGTGCTCAGCACAAAATAAAAGTGCAAGCTGCATCATCAAGGAATTAATCAACGCCGTGTCCTCTATCCTTTTTTTGTCATTTTTCCTCCTACATCAAGCAGCAAAAAAAAACGCTCTGTGTTGAAATCTTTGCCATGTTCTTGGCTAAAGAAGCTTAAGAATACCAAAGTGTATTTCAGGTTCCGGACCATGGAACGTCACATGTTTCAGTGCTTGATGAATATGGCAATGGAGTCTCCGCAACCTCAACAATCAATCGATGGTATTTTTTTCTTTAGACCTAGAAAAAAATCAAAATCTTACTTTATTTTTTTCTAATTATCTGTTAAATAAATTCAGTAGTAGTCAAATAACGGAAAAGCAACCTCAGGCATTGCAAAAAATAGAGCAACTGAAACAAGACAATGGAAATTAGTCGTGAGGTAACTAGAGATATGCAGAACTGTTTAGTTAATTATAGAAATTGGACACAAAAAATGAAGATGAGAAAAAACAAACGATATGTTACTACGTTTCCCTATTAAGGTTCGGAGCCACGGTCGAATCAGGAACCTATGGAATCATCTGGAATGATGAGATGGATGACTTCTCGACCCCTGGCATGGCGAATGGGTTTAGTTTTTTCAGTCGATCTTTGAATTGTTTCTCGTATAAGATTCTCTGTCATAAAATATTGTGTGAATCATAACGCGTCCTATAATCGACTCATTTCCTCGGACCCATTTTCATTCGGATTTGTGCGCGGTTTCAGCTCATGATTGAGAATTTTTGACCTTCTTTTTGAATTATAAACGCCGTTGATTATTGGTTGAGTTCACTCTTCCTGGAATCCTGGGCTAGTCACGCTAATGCATTCTCATGTCTATGTCACAGACATATCGCTGTCTTTTATAGATTCGAAGTACCGGAGATAATACCGTAGAATTCTGGAACCAACCAACTTACCTACTCATTAAAGATGGACTGGAAGAAGTAGGAGGTACTTGGTTGACCCCAAAAATCAGTCGAGCTGGCTCCAAAAATTGGTCCAAATGGCGCCTCCACCATACAACTTTTTTGTCGTGCCAAGCAATGATTTTTTGAGCAAATGGAAATACACCTCATTTCATGCCGTTACGGATGTCCTCCACAACATATTTTGCACGAGTTTTCGAATGCTTGATAAAGTGCACCAAAATAGCCAGTCGAATAGAAAACGTGTAATATATATTGACTCATTTTAGTCAGTTTTACCAGGGAGATAGTGCATCATATATGTCTCATCCCGATGCTAATGGGTTAAGACTTCAGTCATTTCTTCTGTTATGAGCTCAATATTCAGTTCGCTCTACTGCTTCTTACCGCTGTTAATGCTCCAATCGGAGTTTCGCAGGGGTTTTCGAAGAGTCGATACGAATACTATCCAACGAAATACGTGAGGACGACAATAGTCCTCAAGCAGTAGCCCACATGCGCAAAGTCCGCATACTTAGTGGAAGATGGATGCGAGGAAAAAAGTGAAATGGAGAAAACGCTCAGATCTGAATGCACTAGATGTATCCGAAAATACTAGATGTGAAGGCGGGTTGTGTGGAAAAATTTTCCAACTCTACAACTCCCAGGATCGACTTTCTCTTAACCTCAGCATTGGAATTTGAATGCGTCGTTTCCTTGAATCGCGAGGTTGTTAAACAGCATACATTTACTTCCATACAATAACACACATACAACACAATCGAAGCTGACGTTTCCGCAGTATCGTCTTCTTCAGAGCCAGGAAGAGTATACTGATATACAATTTACTAGGCCAAAAGCTTCAATAACACTTACACAAAGACGAAAGACTCTTTGGTAATTACACGATCAACAACTTCTCGGAACATTCACCGCTTTTTTACATAACTTCCAATGAGGAAGGATAGAACAACTGATTATAGTCGCATGTGGTTGTCGCATGCCACATCAGAAGTTGATGCGAATATACGGGGTTAGGTCTCGTATGACCTCTGGTCATTCATCCCTGCTATTCATTGTAGGGTTTTGGCATTTATCGAAAAGCCTCGAAAAGTTTTCGCGCTGGTGTTTTAGTCTCCTATGCAAGGATTTACTTCAAAACCGTCTTCGCTATGCTTTTGTATCCTATGCGTGCCTAGTGGGGTGCTTCGTCTTAGTTTCCGTTTGCCATCTAGGTGTTCTTTTATACGGATACACAAAGGTCTGCCCGTTTCGCCAATATATTCATCTCCGCAATTATTACGAGAGATCAGGTATGTCGTACCTGAACTCATGCAATCACCTTCCCACCCGTAAGGGCAAATTACGCAATTTGTTGTTTCACATAAGCGGTCATACAGGCGGTTACGAACTAATTGACGACGTAGAGTAGCCGGTGGTATTTCAACTATCGCTACCGATTCCTCTAGACCTGCCCTTCTTAAGCATCGTTTTATAGCTGCGCTTACTTCATCGCTTATAAAAGGCGACATAAACGGGATTTTGTTTTGGCCAAGTGTTTCGCGCGGGCGCTTCGTTCTCCTTGTAAACTTATCTCGTGGGTTTACTATTTCGTAGCCATTGGAGATGGCTATTTGCCGAGCCAAGTCGCGATTCTTCCTTTAGTTCCCTGGTAGTGCACACAGAGGTGTGTTCGAAACATGTTTCTCACAATCGCCATCTTTCTGTGTGAGAGGTGGGAAGAAAGGAAATGAACGAGGATGTTCTTGTTATTTGGCTTTCAGTACCACTTTGTAGAGTAACCGCCACTTGATAGGCTTATTTGAACGTTTAAAAACGGAACGACTATAATCAGCTGTTCTAAACTTCCTCATTGGAAGTCACGCAAAAGGCGGTGAGTGTTTCGAGAACCTGTTGATCATGTAATTACCATAGAGTTTTCGTCTTTTTGTGTTATAGAAGCGTTTGGCCTAGTAGATTGTATATAGTATGCCCTTCCAGGTTCTGAAGAAGGCGATACTGCCGAAACGTCAGCTAGCGTTGTATTGTATTGTGTTTCTCTATGGAAGTAAATGTATGCTGTTTAAAAACCTCGCGATTGCTGAACAAGAAAACGACGCACTCCACATCTCCTTTTATATTCCGACAACTTTTACCGTTGCAACTTTTATAGCGTAATATTTCCTGTAAGCACTAGTATTATGTTTTTTTGCGAACTATTTCTTTTGCTGTATTGGCAACAGAGCAGGGTTGCTGACAACTACTTTTAATTTTACAGTAAAGTTAAAGCCTGTGCACTTGCTGGAATCAAGTTCCATATTGTTTTAATGGCGAGATAATTTTTCAAAATATTGCTTTTATTCCGAAATATTTGTTCTTTAGTTCGGTTATTAAAGTTCACAATGACATGAGGTTAAACGTGACCCATTACAGCAACTTATCCTGATGTGTTGAATCTCCTAGGGTTTTGTCTTATCTTCGGAAATTGACTTGCACCTTCATTCGTGTTCAGTATTTTCCCAGAAACATACAGTATTCGCGGGTTCCTAAGAATTTACTCTTTTGAAGACACTTGAAAGCAATTGACTATCAATAGAAATCATATAAAGGTTCGGATTCGCTCCTTCGGAAACGAACTTCATTGAACCAGGAAAGCGACCGATGAGCAGCATGTGTCCGATGGTCATATTTGACAGAAAAACAAGAGATGTCAGTTTAAATTCCATTTCTTTCTTTTTGACGATTGTGTAGTAGTTTGAAGGGAAGAGTTTTAAAAAAGCCTTATTGATGAGAAATCTGTGAAAGAATATCGTAAGATTCGTATCGGAATATCGTAAGGTCGTGGTAATATCGTAAGAATTTATTACAAAGACATCGATCAATTCCACGGCCACGGCAAGCACTTGAACGACTTTAATTATGGAAGGATCTACTCGACTCGGCTTGAATCCCTCAAAAGTTCAGTTGACTTGACAAACTGAGGCACTCTTTGTTCACCAGTTGACCCTTCTTTCTTATAAGATGAAATTTTTAAAGAAAATGAATAATTTCTGAAGATTGGTGCTGAGATGCATCCGTTCCAACTCCCTATCAGTGAATTCCACAAGAAGAACTATTAGATCATGGACTGGAACAAAATGTGAAAGCAGAAAAGAAGCTTCTTATTAAAGCCCTTAATGATTAATCAGAACTCATACGTGTCATCAGCTATTTCATCAATTCGTAATCTCCAGAGTTTTTTCCCTAAAAGCATCGAATAGCTATTCAGACGCTGTTAATATTTGGAAGACCACTACAATAGGAATTATATGCCCATCATATAGTAGACTGCGATTCTACTTCAGCAGGTAGAAATTCAAAAAAAATGCAATGACTATTTTGAAACACCTTTAATTTTTAGCTGAAACTAAGTTCTAAGTTGTGATCGTTTAGCCAAAAATGGTAGTCGGCGCTTCTGGTGGAGCGAAAATCATTTCCTCAGTGGCAAAGGTGAGGCATACTATCAACACAGACTCGGCTCACCGAGAGCAAAGAATGATCTGATCTGATTGAATCGGCGAATTTCAGGCGATCGTTCGATCGTTGATTTTTGGCGAAAGCATCAAACAAGCCGTCGATTCACCATTGCTTCATAATCAGTTTACACCCGATATCACACAAATCGATGACTCTTTTCCAAAGGTAAAGTGTTGCTTGAATAATAGATAATAACATAATTGATTGGTTTGTTGCCCTGAGAATTTTAAGGAAGAAGAGTGGAAAGCGATTCAATAAAATCCCAAATAATTGCTTAAATGGTTAAGCGAGCACGAGGTAGTCATAATCAGATCTTAAACATCTAAAGAAATACTGAACAACATGCAGATGTTAAAGAAAATCGGTTCTAAGATATTGTTACGTTTTTTGCTCGCTAAAAAACTCACAAAGTTTGCCTTAATGACAACAGCATTGTCCTTTTATCAGTGTTATCACTATCACTTAAACAGTAATGAGGAATCTGATGGGAAATCAGAGAACAATTTCAATGATTGTGGCTTTGCACGACAACAAACAAGCGCAGTACACCCCAGTTCTTGATTTTCCTTAGACATCCCAGCTGAGTACACCGAAATCCGCTCTAATGAAGAAGTACATGGTTTTCATTCCTTTGTATTTCTTCACAGTAAAGGAATTCTTGATTTAAGAAGCTAATTTCCAAGGTTTTGTATTGAATAGAGACAAACTGAACTTGAACATTAGAAGTGGAAATATAACTCTACGAGAATGATTGCGAAAAAAGACCCAGTTGACGATAAAAAAAAATTGCTAATGAAAGATAAATGATTACCTGCCTGGCTTTTATCGGTTCCTTAGGGATGTGTTTTACAATCTACTAATTCGGTCTACACAATGACTTTATGTCGACCTTTTTATACTCTTAAATAATAATGTGATCCAACAGTAATCGCAGAATTTTTAGTGGCATTAATGAACCATTAAAACCAACGAAGGGGAAAAATCACTACGTTAAGTGTAAACCAATTCGACTACAAATTAAACTGGTGGGAGTTTTATATAAAAACTGAAAGGATAAAGCTCTTAGCGTTGATCAATCCCTGGGGAATGCTCCATGCATTCGACTTCATTAAGCGTCGTTTGGTGGTGATTGAATGCATAGCTGGCCTTTACAATAACTCGCGGTGGCCTATCGATGTATCGAGCCAGTTCCGTTATCCTCCCAGAAAAGTCTGGTAGCAATTTGTCGACCCCGAAGGGATGGAAGGCCATGGGCGTGGGGAACGATTCTACGTGTGTGATGTAGTGGTGCCTTCAACCACTGCGAGCTTTATATAGTTCTCTAAAATAAGATAACAACGTAAATATTTAGGAACTGAAGAAAATTCTGATGACGGAATTCGGTCAAAAGTTCCGTAACACAAGCGGGTTCGAGGGAATCGTGCAAGGAATAACTGTTGATTCCGATGGAATCCACGCATGTGGTGATTTTAGGCGAAAGACCAATCAGAAGCCTTCAGGTTATTAAATCATCGACAGGTAGATGTATCAGAACTCGTAATATACGATCCAGAATGTATTAGTGGATTTGATTCATTGTGATAAAGTCTCTTGAAAATCCTCTACCTAGCATACTGGACAAGGTTTTGTGTTCTGTGAAGCATTGCTTGTTCGACGGGTGATCATTGATCGATATGTTCATCGCTACAACACTTCTTTTGACAATGAACGCACTTTACGTTTAACGTTGCCTTTGTGATGTGATATGACCAACTCGTCCTGTTCAACTTTTAGAAGACCTAACACAATCACTAAACAGTTTGTCACTTATTAATCTTCTACTATGGTGTGTAAAACTGTATTTGGGCTCATCTTATCCTTAAGACTTTCGAGATAAAATTTGTGATATTCAGCGTTTTCGAGAAAAGCATTGTGTGTGGACGTTTTTCTTTTGAATAAGATTTACAACGCTGAGAATTTTAGTTATTTCTCTAGCTTTTTATCTCAGCACGATAGGTGCTATAACTAACGAGTTTTAAAACCATCCTTTGGTTCTTGTATATTTCAGATCAAAAGCAGAAATAAATTAAGCAAAAATAGGTAAACATCAGAAAACAGTTAAACCTGAAGGTTGATGTAAAGAAAGGAAACTTAAGAACTTGGAACTGATGGAAAATATAACAAACACGTGAAAATGAATTAATGAGTGTTCTCCTAGAAAGGCTTCTTGAAGGACTCTAATCCGTTGCTTACATCATTGAAAAAATTCAACGAGGATGCCAAGAGTTTGTGAAAAGAGGTTTTCTGAAGATTGACGCCTTCATACTTGCTTTATAGTTGCTTTTAACATCACGAATTTTAGTATTATAACAAGCTTTAGAAGATTTCTTGTTCATGTACCTGATCCATTAACTCTTTTCCTGTGAAGTATCGCAATCTGTTCACTTTCCTTAGATGTTTTTTAAAATAAACTGTTACCACACTGTTCCATGGCTTTTTGTTTAGATTTAACGCTATCACGTAAAGTCTGCAAAAAATTACATAGAAGATAAAGAAAGGCGATAGATTTTCTTCGTATTTTTGTTGAGGAAACGCGAGGTGTTACTATTCTTTGTTCACGATTAAGCTGACGTTTCGGCGGATTTCTCCTTCTTCAGAGCCCGCTCACTATTCTCCTCCAGAGGTGGTCGTCCAAATATCTAGCACAAAAGTTTTCCTTCGTCTCGCACTTCTTCCACTTGGCGAACATCTGGTTTTGTCGGTTTCGTAGACAAGTGCGTAGTATTCGCAATTCGACGTCCAATACTTGGTGACTGTCCTCTGGTAGACCGCATACGTCGTGTAGTCGTCTTCGTTTGATGAAGTTCGGAACGACTTGATGTTTTAAACAGCGGCGGAGAAAGTGTATTGACTGTCGAGCTAAGACGATCTTTTGTCTCAGTGACAGCGCTTCTTTTATCTTCATCTATCTTCTTCTATCTTTTATCTTCTCTTCAAAGACGATAGAGTGGACTCACATGTACGGTAACGGTATCCTCTACCCAGCATGGCGAGCTACAACATAACATAAAAATATCTAGTTACGATTATCCGCGAATTTAAGATGTTTGTTGGCTATGAGTGCTTCACTACTAAGTATCTAATCCATCGGAAATCAAATGGTAGTGCCGGATGAACGCGACAGTATCTGACGCGAAGTGAGCTGTGGTAACGACATTTTTGCAACCATTCTTAATGCTTCAGCAGTTCCCAAGAAATCATTATCACAATAAAATTAAGATTCATCAAGAAACGAAATTTGTTGTATCACCAACTGCTCTTTGGAGAGCATCTTTGCAGGTTAATTCCTGCTCGGTTACTGCCGTGGAAGGGCAGCGAAAGAAGCGACAGTTACTCCATCTTCTTCAAGACAACTCTCACCCGGATCAGCTTCAGAGTTCTAAGTGCAGTTGAAGTTGTCTAGCTGAGACACAGTACTCCTTTTAAGATAGGCCCGTGTTATCTCCACTATTTACAACGTAGAAAGGATTCCCTGTTGTTGGTCGATGGCTGACGTTTCGGCCATTTCGCCTTCCTCACAGCCGCGCTTTTAAGAGTGGGACTCAATTTCGGCAGTAACAAACCGGAAAGAGTGCGGCTCTTCGCCTTGCGGTGACCGCAGTTCTGGAGAAAACCATCCATTTTTCACTGTTTTCTTCGCTCGAGCAGCTCTTATATTGCTGAACACTGAGCTCAAGCATTTAATCAATGCAACAACAGCAAAACATAGCAATGGCTTGCTGAAATGAAGCGTAACATCGAAAGAAATTTAAGAAGTACTATATTCGGTTTTTCAAACCCAGTACCTTTTTGCAGAGATCTTACCGCAGGGTTAATGATCGAAATGGTGCGTTCTCCTATCAGGTCGCCTAAATTTCGACACCTCGCCACATGGCTGCGGCCTGCTTTTCTCTTGGTCTTTGATTCCCGCCGCTGGTTCTATCTCCGCACTTTCGCTTTCGTTTGTGTAGAAAGGAGTACAATAAGCAGCATCCTCTTATACTTCGATTTTTCCAGCACTTCATTTATGTTGTTCCAAACTCTGAAATCACAATGCTTCCGCCTGCTGATCTCCGATTTTAAGTCGTTTATCACGTTTATATCGCCTGTCTTATTTCAAAAATGCGAAGTAACCTTCTATTGTTTCCACTGCATTACCTCAAACTTGTGTAATTCAACTTTTATTTAGGTGATGGAGTGGTGTGAAGTTCGACTGCCAAATGTAGTTGGGTTAAGCAATGATGAAAATTGTTACACTGGCTATTTTATTCTATATTTTAACATGCGCACAAAATAAAAATATTGCACTGTGATTTACAGTTGGTGCAAACGAAGTAGAGCTGTGATTTATCCATAAAGAAAAGTCTCTATAATGCCGAATTTTCTAATGGGTGCAAACAACTGGAAAATTCGGTGGTATTCGTGTGCTCGGCGTGAATAGATCGTCGGAAGAAAAAGGCGCTTCTCATGACATCGTTTTTTTTTCAGTTTAGATGAACGCCAATCATTCCAAACGCGCCATCAAAATCGACCAGCATTTGTTCCTCCTGACGAATCTTTGGTGCTTTGAGAACGTGACTGAGCGACTTCATAAGTGAATTAAAAAAGGTTTAGGTCTTGGCTATTGGCTTTTAATCTCATTTTATTCTTTCCCTGTTCTAACATTGTTTTCTAGAATGTGGAGCTGAATAGCTTTCACAAGGCGGTAATACGTTACCCTTCCCAATTCTTCATGGAAATTTCGTCTTGAAGTAATAAACTGTATTTTATGAGTTGCTGTTATGCTTACGAATGTTTATAAAAAAATAAGTAAATGCATCGTTTAACTATCTTTTGTTTTTATGTAGATATGATTTTAAAAACCTGTTTAATTCTTAATATTTTGTGGCTCGTATCGCTTCTCTTTTCCCAACACGCCAAAATTGACCCAAATAAAAATCGCATATGCTATTGGAAGAAGGCAGACTAAAAAGATGGTGGTAATGTTTCACGAGTACTTCTTCTGAAAGAAACGTGATACTTCGAATCTTCCACTATTTCGACATTTCTTCTATCAATAAGTGGTGTGGGATGGGCGAAGGTAGTAACATGAGAGCAGAAAGGCAAAATCTTCAGGATAAATTTATTTTTGCCGACATGCGGTTAAAGTAGGTGTAGGTGGTTGGAAAACAGATTGGAATTAAAGTGTATAACGCGATCATTACCTTGGATATGGTAACGCGTAAATCTTGGACGGCGAACAACCTGAGTTTACTACTTACGTTGTTATAGTCAATTCCGTTTCTTTATTGTCATCTGGAAGACACCACATTCTTTTTGCTCATGGTAATAGATCAAATGCTCTTTTATTTTGTTAGTTTCATTCTTATGTGTAACTCCGATGTAAAGTTTTTCGGACGTTCTGCTAGGAGAACCACAGTGTAGAACCCTTCTAATGCTGAGTCGTAGTTTGAATTTCTCTGTAGAGAAAAGCATCTCCATAGGAAATTAGAAGCTCTTTTTTCTATTCTTTTGCTCCATAGTTTTAGATAGAGCATGTACGACGATTAGTATTAAGGCTGGCATCGATCCGCATCGTTTCCGGCATAAAGGTCTGTGGGAGGTGTAAACCTCTCGTTGTTCGTTGCCATGGATATTCTGGCCGTCGTGATAAACTCAAAGAACTTCTCAGATAGTGAAGTCTGACCATAAAGATCACAGCATCACACCTTCCTATCCATAAAGTTTCTAATATAACATTTAGCTTTCGTTCTGTTCAATTGTTAATATTCGACAATGAATAGACGCACTATAACGTAAACGACCATGATATTCATTGACTAATCACATCAATCAACACTCTATCACAATATCGCACAGCTCAAAGCTAACCTTAACGAGAGCCAAACGAGAGCGAGCTCTCCAAAGCTCTCTCTTTTTCTTTGTCCATGCTAACAGATGACTGATGTAAACGGGGCACATGGATCGATATTCGGTGATTTCATGGAACGTATTTCCGTTATTCTGACGAAACACTCTTGTACATCGTTATGAGAAATGTTGTCGGGCGTTAATCGAACGTTTTGTGCTGCTGATAAAATCGTATGCACAGAGCATTATTGCGCCTGCTTTGTCCCACCCGTTCAGTTTTTTTATGAATCCTTGTTGGAAATGGTTACTGCAAAAATCAATTATAGTAGTAGTGATGTTGATAATAAATAATAGTAACTGCCACGACTGACTTTCTATTAACCTCGGCATTGATCAAGTGATTTTGTTCGTATTTTTTTTGAGCAAACGCGAGGTGTCATTGTTCTTTGTTCACGATTAAGCTGACGTTTCGGCGAATTTCGCCTTCTTCAGAGCCGCTTTCTATGAGGTCTCCACTAAGTA